GGATGAGTTAGGAAGAAACACAAAAATCTAACTCGAAACATGGGAAAAGGTGGGTTGAGGGACCTAACCTGCCATGATGAAATAGTATTTCTCAAGATATTTCACCGGAGAGCCGCCGCTTTAAATTGATATGAAAGGAACAGTAAAATAACATAGGCCTTGATCTACAAATAGACTCTGCAAACAACTTAGTGAAAAGTATTTCCTATTATATCTGTATCACCAAATAGATAACTGAATCAACTATCAGCCATTTCTTATTTCATATATATACTCGTTTCGAAATGTTATTCATTCTAGTCTTATTCATGATACTCGCATCAGAAATATTTGTCGACTTGCAGTTTTCTGTTCGAAACACAGTTCGAACTGAAGTTATGGCATGGAAAAGGTTCGAAAGAGTTCATGACTAGTGTTGCCCAAAATCAGTCTTGGTCTTGCACTTTGCAAGACCAAGACCAAGGCCGCCTAACTACTGCAAGAGCAAAACCAGGACTGGTAAAAAAAATCGATTTTTAAGTAAAAATAAAGGCAAAATAGTTACTAATACTTGACAATCTTAGTTATAAATGTTAATAATTGTAATGACCAATATACTTTTGCATTTAACTCCTCTAATTTTTTCATTCGGGCATAGTTAGGTTTCTCCTATCAAAAAAATGCAGTAATATTTCTATAATAATAAGCTAATACGTAACTACAAGACTGTTGCGAGGCTCTTGCACAAGACCAAGACCATGACCAAGACTGAGTTTGCAAGACCAAGACTCGTCTCGATCTCGCATTTGGGCAACACTATTCATGACTGCACCTCGCTCGGCGCAACAGATTTGACTCCTCAGCCATAATGAAGGTAATCTACCCAGGGGCACTAGAGCCCAGGGGCCAATCAACTGTATAGGATATGATTGATTAATATATATATATATATATATATATATATATATATATTCCCTACATTCGACAGCGCATAGCAATTACAGAAAGTTTTTTTTTCAGACTCTCAGCAATGTTATGCTTAATTTAAAAGCTTCCGCATTTACACGTAATGCTACAAAATTATCTGCACAGCCTAGAATAAGCATAGTAATACATTCGTCGCAATGACGTACCTTTCCAATGAAGTATTAACTTTTTAAAGGCGGGGAATGGGAATCGCTCCGCTTTAAACCTCAAATATCCCAGGAAGAAAAATTACCTATTCGGACTGTATTAAATATTTGTATGCACTTTCTTTTTGACAAATTAATTTCTCTGTCATTTCGTGTTTTAATGAAACTATGAGTAATACCAATTATGGTGGTATATATATATATATATATATATATATAATATATATATATATATATATATATATATATATATATATATATATATATATATATATATATATATATACATATATAGATATATATGTATGTATGTATTGGTCAGTCATATGAAGAGATCTGTTATAGAATCGCTACGTCAGTTATTTTTAAATAATTACAGCGATCGTAAGTAATTTTTATTATGAGATTCGGTTAAAATATGTTGACACATTTTCGTCACAAAAGGAATTATATTGGAGATATATGGAATATATAAAACCTGTACCACTACAACCCATGAAGGGTCTGGGGTTCAGTACTATTTAGGGAAAGCACTGTTTCTAGGTCAACGGTTGTGCAAGGAGGTGATTTGACCGAGATCACGCTCAACCGCCAGGTTTTTCCCCTTAATCAATTATTTAATTAAGGGTACCCACTTTATAGAGGCTGGGTGTGCCCCAGGAGGGACTCCTGACCCAAGGTCGCTCCACGGCCAATGAAACAGATAAATAAATTATCTGCCATGAGCCGGGGTTCGAACTCGGGACCTTTGAATTGGAAGCTCAGTACCCCGCTCCCATGGAATATATAAAGTCGTATAAGAAGTATCTGGTCTTTTTCAAGTTTTAAAGGTATTCTACATGAAGAAGTATACTTTTGTAGCTTGGTCAGTTACTGAAGTCCGAGAAATTGTCTGGAAGGCTGGAGGAACGGGGACGTCCTTTAATAATTGGGCAATCCAGAATGGAGGGCAAATAATGTAACAGAGTCGAAATATAGAGGTGTTCAAAAAGACATAGTATTCGAGTCTTAGGGGAGTCCTCCAGAATAAGGCTCAACACTAAAAAATTGAAATAGAGCCCTTTTATTTCACTAAAAGAAAAAGAAAAGAAATTCAGCAACGAGATCATCATTTTAGGCTATTAATTTAAATAAAAATGAGGATAGCTCGTTCATTTATTTAATTTGAAACACGCAACAATTATTTATAAGATTTCTCGGGATTTATGTTTTGCTTTTTGGTTCCAAAGATTATTTTGTTGCTAAATGGATAGGTATTTTAAGTTTTTCATAATAATATTTTTTTTTTAATTTTAAAAGTTGCTTGTTAATTCATCCACGAGGCCAGGTCATGAATTTACACCGGAATCCAGACTGAATTAGATGCGTTGGCAACTGTAAACAAGAAAACGGACAAACGATTCGCGCTAAGTTGACAAGGACGAACAAATAGAGTTGTTAATTAGGATTGTTTGCACGTTTTGGAGAATTCAATGTCGTAGATTTTTGCACCTTTCTGATCTCATGGAAGAGGAAGCCTTATCAACCTACTTCACGGTTCGCATAACAATAAAATTAGCGTGAGCGAATGTAATTGTATTATGTCTTTCGTTGCAATTGCTGTTGAAAAATTGACTGAATCAAATAGATGGTTCCACGGCCATGTAGAGGCCCCTCGCCATTAATATAACTATATTTGACAGTAGATCAAGTTTGTTTTGCTGGAAACATTTTTAAACCCAATACAAACTCCAAAAATTACCTTATCCACGAATTTCAAGTTATTTTATTTTTTCTGTTTTAGAGGGATCGGAAAAAAAACTGATTGTAAGGATCCGGAGAAGTATCCGTTATTCTTTAATGTAAAACCAAAAGGAGGTAATCAGTGCTGCCAACTTAACAAACTTAGCGCGTGGATTTAATTTGAAATGCGTTCTGAATTCATATTAATCATGACCGAGTAATATGAGTCGAGAAAGTGAAATGTGTCTGTTAGTGTAAGTGATTTTTAATTTGAAGAAAATAGAGTATGGATAATAAGCTTATTTTATTGAGTATTAATACAGTCTGCCACAATCTAGGGCATTGGTAATAGGGCTACGGTATTCATTCACACAAAATATGTACATACGAAAGTAAAGTAAATATAAATAACTAAATCAGCTGGAGTTGGTCGGGGGGGGGGGTGCGGTCAAATAAATACTAAATTATTGAGTATTTTTAATTGTTTCGCCCAACATTTAAAAATAAAATTTTTATTCGCCCTAGGCGAAACAATTAAAAATACTATTTTTTTTAAAATTTAGTATTTATTTGATCGCACCCCCTGACCAACTCTCATATATCACGGCCAACCATCTCTACATCTTTATAAATAACTAAATTAAAAAACTAAACTATATATAAAGATAATGTAACTAAGATACATAGAATTAATACACATATATACAAGATAAATAAAATAATAAATTGAAGCTGAATGATAATAAAATATATAAAACTCATTCACACCTATGTACACAAGCTTATTTTATATTTCCGTTTGTTCTTTAAAAAAATTATGAAAATATTTCTGAAATAAATTTAAATTGCCTTACGTTTGAATTTGTTGAGTGCTAATACAAATTCCTCTGCGTATAAAAGTGGAATTTTTCAACTATTTTGTGAGCTATATGAAAATATTAGCAAAATTTCCAAGATTAGTCAAAGTTCCTTTCACTTGCGGGGTGACTAAGGCAAAATGACACATTTAAAGGAAGGGGATGTTATTGTGGCAAGACGGGAAAGGACAAACGTTCAAGCTTCCAAAAATGTCCTTAACATGTTTTGTGAAGAGAGTGGTTCAGATTTAATTAAGACGAATTTGAAGTTTTAATTTTCTAGATAAAAATATTATTTGTTAATTTATGTGCAATTTATATTATAACATTACAAGGAAATGAATTGTTAAGATTATTTAAATGTTACAGTATTTATTATTCTTTGACCAATCGATGTTATGAGAATAAAACATGTTAATTTTCTCTTTTGATTTTCTTCTTTGATGAAAGAAGGTTGGACCCAGCCAGTCCCTAATTATCCATACACGCAATGTTGCCAATTGCCGAGGAGCGCCGCACTAATCGCTTATTGAGCTTGGGATGAGAATGTCTAAATATCCATGTACCTGTAATCATCTCGCAAGTGGAAGGAACTTTGAATAATCTTGAAAAATTTGCTAAAAATTTCATATAGTTCACAAAATAATTGAAAAATCTCATTTTTATACGCAGAAGAATTTGTATTTGTACGCAACAAACTATAAGGCAATCGGTTTAAAAAGGTAGCTATAGCATAGAGTGGATTACAACCAAAAACATTCCGGGCCCCCAGGCGGAACAATGTTTGCGACCCCTAAAAAAAATAGTAAATACAATTTTTAAATAAACACAACGTTTTAGTATGATTATAAAAAAAAATGTAATGTTTTTGCAGTAAAGTTATCATTCAATTATGACAAAAATAAAGAGATAAAACTATTGTGGGGTCGACCTCCGCCACTGGTTGCAAAAGTAGTTTTTCTAAAATAACTACGATCGTCCTCCACATCAAGTGATTCTGGATTTTTTTCCCGCTTGGAAATGATTGAATAAACTTATAACAAAAAAAGCAAACTTGTATACAATTATCGGCTTTGTCTCCAGCGGATGCGTCTATAAACTGGATGGATTGATACCATCAATTATATCAGCGCCGAGTTTACGAACATACCTTATAAATACCTCCGTAAATGAAGTGCCCATCTATTCCACAAATTAATAAATAATGAGGATGCTTGTGGAAGCTTAATTCATATTTTATATACTTTTGCAATTCTCATCCCGGTTGACAAAATGATTCATTTCAACATGAATAGCAATGAAATCTTACCTGTTGAGGTGCAAAGGTGGTAAAAAATAATTTTGATTCTTCTGTAAACTCCATCTACCGTAATATCATCCTTCTTCCTATCTTCATACCATCACCGTACTCGCATTGCAGCCACAAAATTTCGATTTTCACTTCTATTGTTCTGCAACAATATAAAAAAACAATAAATTTTATTGATAAAAATTTTATTAATTAATTAATTATTGATATTATTTTTTTTCTTAACAATATGGAGAACATCATTGTTGTATTAGCAACTGAAGTTGATGTATTGCAGTTGTATCTTAATGATTATTGATACCAATAATAAAAAGATATCTTGTTATCAAGGCCCAGAATATATTTCGGAAAGAAAATGGGTCCGTAAATGAAGTGAATATTTGATTGATATTCACCATAGAAATGCTACAAGAATCGATCTCAAGTTAAGGATTCGTATCCTGTATACATTAAAGGGGTCACTTTGTTGGCATTTCTGTCATAGCTCTTCTTCTAAAGAGAGATTGAATAGATTGATCTAGCAAATTACTTCTTGTATTGAACAACTATTTTTCTTTTTTAAACAGAGAGCAAAACATGTTTTCCTATTAACCGTACAATAATTGTCAATCAAAAATAGATAATGATACTTTAAGACTACAGCTTAAAATTGAGCTTACAATAAAAACTCATTGTATAGTTTTGAATGATAAATTTGAAAGAAAGGCGTTTTACTGTTACTGTGGTGGTGTGTTACTGGTGTTTTTATCTTCTCAATTGTAAACTGATTTAACCATGCAGACATTGTAAATTTAATATATATTTGAATTAGCATTAATTTCAATTAACGACAAGCCAATTCATTGAGTTGACGTTTTTGTCTTACTACCTCCACTACCTTAATGTTCATATTTCACGACTTTTTTTGTCCACTTCAATCTTTACTTTTTATTTGCAATAACTAGAGCCATGGTATAAACTCTCTAAGGTTGAGTATATATGCGGAAATCGTTCTAATGTAGGAAATTTTTCGTTTCCATATTTCATTTTTCTTTTTTTTTTTTTATTTAATGTTGATTTTATTTCAGAAAATGGCAAAATTTCATATTTTTGTCCAACATAAAATTATAATTTTGTATCAAAGAGGACCTGCAATCAGGAAAATTAAAAAAGAAGACGAAGAAGATTCTATTTCTGGAACTCGTTATGCTATCAAAAAGTTGTTGAAAACCAAGCAAACCAGAGGCTTTAAACGTTCAGACAGGTGGTTCAGACAACCACTAAAAATCCGGCAGAGAATTACAAGGACCAAAGTTTCGTCCTCCTTGATCAAAAGTAAACTCCTATCATTATGTCATAAAGAATGTGTAGTCAGAAGAAAAACATTTTTTCACTCTCTAAAGAAGCAAATGCAATTCAAGTTTGCCAAAGAACAAGAAACTAAGACGAAAAAAGAATGGAACAAATTTTGCTTTAGATGATAGAGATGATTAAATATTTGAAATGGTTGGTTTCGGAAGGAGGCAGGATGTTAGTGGATAGCAGACATCAAGAGCTACAAAAAGTTGATATAAACAGTGAGTCAATTTTCATTACAACAATTTCTCCATTTCTAGCAAAAAAAGTAGGAAATATAAGTTTTGCGTTATTTTAGGCTAGTCATGGTTTTTTTGAATAGGAAGCGATAACTATAAAAATACTTAATTTAAGTAATAATAACTTGCGTCACAATAAACTAAATAAAATTCAATTGAAACGAAAATAGAGATTTTCGTTGTTAAACCCTTAACTTAAGCCCTTGTTAAGTGGACTTTTAAGCGACTAAACTAACCTAAATTGTGTTTTTAAAAAAATTGATAAATTATTCGTGATTTTTAAAAATCATTTTCCAACTATACTACAAACACCCCATTTTTACAAAAACTTCCTTGTTTAATAAGTTTCAAATCCACTTAAAATTAAAATGAGGTTTGTCAGAGTGATTTTATAACTTGTTACCTACACAACTTGAGGTGAATTTTATTTTTTACCGTAATAAACCCCCACTTGAGTTATAGAGCTCCATTAAGCCATCAAATACCTCTCGTGTCTAATCCTTGCAATCCAAAATTCTTCGTAAAATCATCAATGCTCATTACTTTGTCACTAATAAAATCATTCATAACGAACTTAATGTTCCTTACGTTTCCGATTTGGCCCAATCCAGATATTTATCCTTCCATAATAAACTTCAGAACCATTCGAACTCTCTTGTTTCTAACCTTCTTCCTTTTCGATCCCTGATAACCCTCCGAGGCGTCTGAAAAGAAGATGACCTCGAGATCTATTGCAAATACATTTTTATAGTGTTACCAGTGGGTAGTTTCTCAACAAGTGTTTTCGTGTATCATATTTCTGTGTTTACATTTACTGGATGTATTTTTATGTTTAATACAGTCTTAAATATCTTTAATAAATACAAACAAAGGCAGAGTACTAATAATACGAGAAGTTTCTGAAGCCATCGAAATTTGAACAGGTTTGAGGCAGGGATGTGGACTATCGCCGATGCTGTTCAACTTAATTAATAAAAACATCACGCGAAATGGAGGGGTCCACGTCGGAATGAAACATAAGTTCCTAGTAGAAGCGGATGATACAGCTGTCCTCTGAAGCAATCATGAGGATACTGAGAGACCAGCCCAGACTTTGATAAGCAGGGTTTGAAAGCGATAATCAAAAAATCAAATCTGATCAAAAATTTTATCTGTAATTTTCAAAAATCATTTGATGATATTTATTAAAAGTATTTTTTATGATAAGTTATAAAAATCATACCCTAATACTTATTTTTGAACAAAATATTTACAATTACTAATAATAATAATTTTTGAGCGATACTATTTTAAATCAGGAATATAAATTTTTTCTTATCTCTATTATTTATTTTTAGTATGGAGTAGTAGGTGGAGAATATTGTTGTTAACTATTAACAACAGAACATCTTTATTTCTGAAATTTATTAGAAATTTTGGTTTACAAAAAAGAATATATATGTATACATATATAGTGCAGGTACCGCGTGGACTATTAAAGCGATTTCAGAGATTTCAGAGAATATTTAAAAATGTGTTCATTAATAATTTATACTACATACATATCAATTATTAATTTAATTTGTGAGTAAAAGGTGATTTGTATTTTCTGATCAAAATATTTTTGATCACAATTTAATCATTATTATTTATATAAAACCGTATCACTCAGTCAATGATCTTTATTTTTAATCGAATAAATAAAAATTAAAGATCGATTTAAATTTTTATTTATAAATCAGGCACAATGTTTTAATTAAAAAGCAAATATAATAATCATTTGTTATGTTTTATACATTTGTTATGTGTTATAACATTACATGATTTTGTAAAATAAATCGCAAAATAATTGGATTGGTATGACCAATATACTTTTGCATTTAACTCTTCGAATTTTTCATTCGGGTTTAGGTTTCCCCTGTCTGAGAAGTCAGTGGTAATATCTCTATAGTAATAGGCTGATAAATAACTGGAAGCTCGTGATATTATTCTAAGAATGAGCGGTGAAGGCCACTGTCAAGTGGATATCGCGGGGACACCTCCACTGCTCGAGATGATCCCTCATGATGACCCACACACTTGGGTTGAAAAGTCGGCACCAATAAAAACCTTAAAAATGACGCGTCTTGACTATTTATCACCTATAAAGTCAAATTGTGACGATATATAAAATACAAAAAAAAAAGGATTAGTTCGTGAAATAACTGTTAGTTTTGCCTCGAAGAGGGTTAACTAAAAATAAATTAGTTTTAAGTATTAGTTTTAAATATTAATTTTAAGTCAGTATAACAGCCGACATATGAGAGAAAAAAACAAAAGAGAGTTTAGAGAGAGATGGCGAAACCTCGCGAGTGTAGAGGCACGCTAAGGGTTTTTGTGTGTGAAATAATTTAGTTTTATGGTGTACACCAGATTTTGTTTTTCTTCTCCACGAACCTGTGATTATCAGCGACGAGTGCCAGTTGATTTTACAAGTTGGTGAATGAACATTTTCACAGCTGAGAAGATACACTGCGGAGACACTGACGACGCTAGCTCGAATAAGTTCCTGCTTCCTCAGAAAACTCAATGTGGCAATTGGACAAAGTTCGGCATTGAGATTTTGTAAATATGTATATATAAGTTTTTATTTCCTGTCTATTTTTTTTAAATATTTGTAATTGGTTTATTGTATAGTCTAAGTCAATGTTTAGTTCTATAATAATTTTATATTCTTTTTTTTTTTTATAATTAAAGTTAAGTGTATTTTCTTTGTTTCTTATAAATCTAATTTCTTGTTCATAATTTTCATTTCCTTTAACAGTTATTTAAATCAATAGAAATAAGTAAATTCATCATTAGTATTAATAATAGCCAGTTTTATATTCTTCTCTTACTTCATTTTGTTTTCACGTTTTATGTATGTATTATATTCTTTTCTTTTTTTGTTTTAAGGTTTAATAAGGAATTGTAAAACCCTATTCAAGGGATTAGGGAAAGTCATTATTAACCGAGTAAGAAGGTTCGATAGGTTATGAAGTTAATTAACATATGTTTTAAAACGCATAGGTTCCGAGTTCGTAGCTCGCTCCGCGTCCAAATCTTTTTTTTTTTAATTAAATTTATTTTATTTTTTTTTGGTTTTGCTATTTTACAAATTAAATCAATGTAATAGCGTGGCGCCTGTTAGATAGTTAGTAATATTTAATTGACTCCTGATTATTTTATTTTTTTTGCGAACCCTACCGCCTCCACTGAGCATCCGGTAAGTTTGTTGCGGAAACAATTTTTCTAAATTAAAGACGGTAACAAAATTATTTCTAAGTTTATGAAAACATTTGTTGAAATTTTCTGTACAGTTGAGGACAATATAGTACATACATATAAACACACAAGGCATAGCATAATCCCGAAAAATTTCAACACTTCTGCTTCAACCGAACTAAAATATATAAAATTTTAATGGTGCAATCAACACACACCTTTGACCTTCAACATCCTAGAACTATGGAGATACACAGTAGTTGGATTAAAGATAAGAATAGTGAGAAATATACGAAAATTTTCACAGACGTGTTTCCACATTTAGGCCTAATTGGAGAGTCCTATT